GTTCAAACCATTTGAGTGATGAAAACAAAGTTGAAGAGTATGAATTAATAGAGAAAGTTACCAATAAAAAAATTAATTAAAAATAATAAGTATAATATTTTTAAAAAAATAATAATAAATTAAAACTAATGAGTCAACTTATCCATCCGTGGATTGACCTTAATCGAATCCATAACTCATATGGGTTAATGTTACAAGATATGTACAAATTACAAGTTAAAATATGTTAAACCTTAAGTTATAATCAAATTAATGAATGGGATGAATTTTTGCCGCCTCTATCTGTAGTACATTTTGATGCCTTCCGCATTGTGTCGGTAATAGTTTGAGAGTCCGTGAATTTCTTCTTCATTCTTCTCTTTTTCTCTTTTATTTGCACAGCGTCACAAATTCACGGATTATTAATATTTTAAACTGTTTTCATATTTGAAAAACTTAAAAAAAATATCTTTAAAATATACACTTTTACGTTTAAATTATAATATTTAATTTTTTTTAAAACAAAACTTTTCAAAACTAAATATAATAAAAAGAAACATAATAGAGTTATTTTATAAAGATAAATAAAGTACTTAATTAAAAACCCATTTATGACACCTATCCACATGTTATTGTTTAATTAATTCAAGTATTGATAATCATGTGGATGGATTCTCATTGCTCAACTCCTTCGAGCTTTTCTTAGACCTTTTATCATTATTGGACCAACTCCCCGAAATCTTCCTCTGCTTTTTGGACCTAGGGTCATTCATTTTTTTGGGGAGAAGACCTGAAGTCAAGCTGAACTTAGACCTTTTATCAATATTGGACCAACTCCCCGATATCTTCCTCTGCTTTTTGGACCTAAAGTCATTCTTTTTTCTTGGGTGAAAGACCTGAAGTCAATCTGTTTTTTGGTGGAAGACCTGAAGTCATTCTTGCGAGTAAGAAATACCTTGCTTTGTGGGAGTGCTTCTTCCTCAGTCGAGTGGTTGGGTGGAAGGAAAAGTCTTATTCTTATAGGACAGAGAGTGGGCCATAATCAATGCTGAAATTTTTAACTGCATCATCCAATGTCCAATCACCTTAACATTTGAGTAGTTGAATAGGAATTCAACTCTTCCTGAATTGATTTAGGTTGTGTTTGGGAACTTAAATTTGAATTTGATGAGTGTAATTGAAATACATGTATTTAAAATACATGTATTTAAAATACATGTATTTAAAATACATGTATTTTGAAATACATTGTTTGGATTGAATTAAAAAAAATGAATTTCAAATACATGTATTTT